GTTTACCTGCGATCACGTAGCAGGTCCATAGTCGCGTTTACCACCACGGGACAACCATACCGGCCTTTTGTTGCAGCTGCCGCCGTCTCCCCCGCCCGAAAAACGCACCTATGCAAATCCATTAACCTTCGGACAAGGGACGGCGGAGCTATTCGGACTCGTAAACGAGAACTCTCTCTTTTGTTACCGTCCCCAATAATTTTCCAAGACGAATTTCAACCTAATACCCGTAAACGCCTTCTAAGAATTTTTTGGAAAGCTGATGCAGCACGAATCATATTGATCATGACATATGCGTCACAGATTCATTCCTGAGTATCTTGCACCTCGGATCACCGAATTTTTCGATTAAATCAATAATTTTAAGTGAAATCATTTCAGCAATCAGACGAGAACACCGGCCAATTCAAACGTAAGTTACTCGAGAATAAGTTTTTATAAAAATTTCCAACGCGCGCGCCCTCTTATATATTTATAAAAAGAAAAAAATTGTTTAAACGTTTGTTTCTACAAAATACGAATGACGATTGGCATTCCAACGATTGCCACTTGGCGGTTACGAAATAGCACGACCTCAATATCCGTGCGGCGAAGGATTAATGTCTTCTTTTCATCCCTCAAGGAATGTTCGCAGCAGGCTGATGTCTGCGCCTATTCCGTACAAAGGCGAAAGATAGAAAGAAAAAAACAAAAGTGTACCTTACAGCTCCAAAATTCGTATCTAAATTCGTACAATAAGGCAAAACACCCGGAGAACCGGACTCGGCGGCGCCAAGCAAAAAGGGCGGACGGAAAACTGTCACAACTGTAAAAGATCTTTTCCCAAAAGGGTCTCGATGATCCACCTCTGGAAGTAGACCGTCGTAATTGCGTGGCGCGCAGTCGGGCCTCCGAGCACAATAGCCGACGGGGAAACGAGAGAAAAAAGCGGGGATATTCACCCTATGTTCGCAACCACCGAGCACCATCAAAGTCGACGGACGGCAGAGAGACAGGGAGAGAGAGAGAAGGAGAGAGAAAGAGAAAGAGAGAGAGATTGCGAGCATTCCTTGCGTTAGAGTATCGAATTGATTCGGATTCCTCGGCACATACCGAACTTACTCCCATTCCTAATGTCGAAGCGACACGGCTAGCAGTCACGACGCGATGGTATCGTGTATCAATCTCATAAGGAAGAAGCATTTAGTACCATCTCTCGCAGATAATAGACCCATCTACCTGCCTACCTAACTGCCTGCCCGCGCATAATCTACCGTACGAATCTCCGGTGCGGAAACGTCAGCGTTTGCTCGCGCCCGGAAAGGAATCTAACGTCATTGTCCTGGCTGCGGAGAAGACGTGCCGTATGCACGGCTGGCGCGCATAAGATCGACGTGTTATCGAGCCGGATATCGGCGTTACTGTTATCGAGACATTCAGCCGGATAGCCGAACCGGTAATGGAGACCCGGACGCTTATTGCGGAGGAAAAGAACGGAGACACGCGTGGCGATACCAGATAACCTCGGCGCCGGATAAACCTGCCTTCACCGGAGATATTTATTTGTCCGACTGGCGATATACTGGGTGTCCTTACGTCCGGCTTCTTATCGGATCGCCGTCTGCGCCTGAAATCGGCGCCAGGATGATCATTCGGAGAACGATTCGTGAAGACAATATGCTTACTCATGCCTGAACATCGCGAAAGTGATTCTTATTATTGTGCCATACGTGTGCGACACGAGCGAAGTAGGATCGCGAAAATAGCCGTCGAATGCGAAAATCGCGAATGACTTTTGGTCCCGAGAGCTAGTTCCCTCTTTTCTCCTTTCTCCACGAGAAAAATTCACGCTTCATCAACCCAGGCACATCGAGCGATACGTTATCGCTTTTACGCTGCTGGTGTGTTATTGTATAGTATGTCACGCGACGTATAAATAGAGGCGCGCGCAGATAATCTGAATAACATTCTGATGGATACGGTTTTATTATGTATTCAGAAGGGAGGATGCGAAAATTTGATCTCAAATTGATGGATAAATGGACGCATTTTTACGTTTGCATTTTGAATGATTCATTCTGAATAGAGATCATTTCATCGTTTTCAAAATCTCTTTCTTGTAAAAAAAAGCCGCTGCGATGTATAAATACTCGCGCACACATGCGCAAATTAAACGAGGTCTGAAATCTTTAAAAAAGCAAGTGAAAGTGTAGATGTTAATAAGCGCGGCGACTATGGCGGCAACATAAAAAGCGTATGAAAAATCAACCTGTTGCGCCCTTGGGCGAGGTCGACGGCAGCGTCGATTTTAATTAGCCTTCTAATTAACACGGGAGAAAGTAACATTCCGAGGAAGATGCGCATCTACCCGAGACGAAGTTTGAATTCCATATTAATAAATTCCGTCGAGCTTCAAGGACCAGTAAAAAATCTCGAGATTTTATATTATACAAGTTATTGTCTTATTTCGATAGTAAAAATTATTTATGACCGTTTTTGTCTATGTGAAAAAAACATTTCAGAATTATTTAATATTCAACTATTTCAATATTTCACTTGCTTTTAATTCTTATTTTTAATTTAAAAAACAACAATGTATTAATTAAAAAATTTACTCGAATACAAAGAGAATATGAGAGATAAGCAAATATTGAGTACTTTAATGATACATGAGCAGAATTGCGAATAATTAATTACTCTTTCAATCAATTAAAGAATTTAATTGACGATTAATATAAACCTATTCAATTAAAAATATTAGAATTAACCATTGACTTCAAGAAATATAATTAAAAATCATTCAATTAACGATTAATTTAAAGGAATTCAATTAAAAACTGTTGAATTAACGATTAAAACGAGCGAAAGTAATTAAAGATTATTCGATTAACGATTGAACATAGTCAATGTAATTAAAGGTTATTGACAATTGATATAAGCAAATTTAATCGAAATGCGCAGTAAGACGATTAACCAATTGATGTAACCAACCGAGCTGAATATATGTTTATATATATATATATATATATATATATATATATATATATATAAAAGCATATATAAGTTTATATCAATTTAATTGTCAATTAAATAACTCTTAATTACATTGACTATGTTCAATTCGTTAATTGAATAATCTTTAATTACTTTTGCTCGTTTTAATCGTTAATTCAACAGTTTTTAATTGAATTCCTTCAAATTAATCGTTAATAGAATAATTTTTAATTAGATTTCTTGAAACAGTGGTTAATTAAAATATTTTTAATTGAATAGGCTTATATTAATTGTCAATTAATTAAATTAGAAATTATTTACTCAAATCAATTATTAAATTAAGGCGAATTTAATTGATATTTTTACAACTCTGTCCATGAGTAAAAGGAATAATATATTTTATTCTCATCTCTTTCAAATTTTTTCTTTCTTCTTTTCCTTTTTTTAATTTATACTTTTTTACATTTTTATTGGAAATTTCGCTAGCGTTCATAGTTATGAATTATTTACGATTCTTAATTGAAAGCGCGATTAATTACAGATTCGTATTTATCCAGCTGTCTGGATTAATATTTGTTGGTATATGCAGCAAATATACATGCACAGATTGACGAATAATTAAACATCCATAAAGCTATTAATTAAATCATAAACCGATTGCGGACATACCGGCCTATAAATTTCGACTCGGGCATCTCTTTGTTATTGATAAACTCGTTAAACATACGCCAATATCAAAAACTTCCTGTTACATACCTGGAAATATGTGATATATCGTCGCCTGCGTCTCGACTTCCCGTTCCAACACCTGCTCTGCTGGCTACTTCGTCGTGGCACTCCGGATAGTCACTGACACTCGCGTAGGCGCGATTCGATCGAGAAACCGCGTGTTAATTAACGCGATACCGAGGAAAGGCCGCCACTCGGTGTTTCAATACTTCAATAACCCGACGCGAACGATAACGAACTCACCTAACATACGTAAAGCACGTCATACACGAGATAATAATTTACGTATTGGAATGTGTGATAGAAAACGCCACAGAACGTAATAGAACGTCGTGGAAACGCCTGAAAAAATACGCGACGCGCGAACATAGATGTAGCCACTTTGACGGCCCGGAATATTATGATAAGGTTGATTGTTTTGATCGCTCGTCCTCGCGCGGCGACGGTTGACTATTGACGCGGCATGACGTAAGCATTTTTTGCTCATTGTCTCAAGTCTCTTCGCGGTTGAACGTTACATTACGTCACACTAGCGAATCGCAATTTCCGTCAAGTGATTACAATATTTCGTTGGCTCTTGAAATATTCAATCAAGCTCTCGTCGCGACATCGCCTCAATTAACACGCGTTTTTCCAATTAAACCGTATCACGTGAGCGTCAGTCTCGCGAACTAGTGTGCGGAGTACTACGATGAAACAGCCAGGAAGCAGGATGCTAAATAATAATAAGACTGCGAATGCAGAATGCCAGAACGCGAACAGAGTTCTTGTTTTATATAACAAGAAATATTTAAATGATCGAATAAAGGTTTGTGAAAACGTATTTGAAATTGATTATGCTCTCAAAGATCATAAATAATTTACATTTATGGATATTAGTCCTGGAAATACAAGTAGAATAATAATCAAGAATTAAGTAATTCTGAAGTAAATCTTCCTTTAAGATTCAATATGGAGAAAGCGATAACAATTATTCGAATATCAAGAGATAAGTTATATATAATTATTTATAATTATATATAATTATATATAATTATTAATATTGTTATATATCTAGATTTTTCACTTGAAATCTCTTCAAGTTCGACAGAATTTCCAGGATCAAAAATTTCGCCTCGGAAATACTATTATAGTTTTAACGCCAAAAGATACAAAAAGGAAATTCGAAACAAATTACATTTTGTATCTAGCGTTTACAATTTCTGTAAAATTGTTTAAACCTTATTGAAGTTAGCATTCTGTTAGCGTTAATGTTCAATATGATGCGTCTATCAAAATTTCAGTTTTAAGAAACTCACTTTCGATTGCTGGCGAGGAATCTGTCGAATTCAACAGACATCTTGCAGCATAGGGCCCGCCGATTGTGCGAGGAGGAACACTTGGTGTCGATCATGTGGCCGTCTGAAAGCAAAGGAAGGGAGTTGAGTTGCGGGGTGGGCGTGCAATTAATTAAGAGGTTAATAATCATCCTTACGAGCCGCTGCCACGACGGTCTAATTAATTCGGGCTGATGGTTCACGCTTCTTCGGGAGCGCTACCACCGCCTCAACGGGAGGATATATCGCGATCGAAATACACACTCACACATATGTATATACGAAGTATTCTTTGCCAAACATCGAGATCATAAATATAATCGTCTTAAATCGAGATCATAAATATAATCGTCTTAAATTAAATCAAATATTTCAAATTTGAGCTTTATAAAAAAAAAGAAAATACACAATAGAGGCATGAAAACTGATGGCAATTTTACGTTGCAGTAAAATTTATTCATTGACATTGCAACAGTAATATCCTGACAATAGATAATTGTGCAACGCGAAAATATGTAAATATACAGAAAGCGGGACGCGCGATGAGAGAGAGAGAAAAGAATTGTTTAATATTATATTTGGTCATATTCGATCTCAATATTTCACCTGAATTTAATCTTTATTTTTCATTTCAAACACAATATAATGTATTAATTAAACAATTTACTCGAATACAGAGTATGCGAGATAAGCAAATATTGAATAATCTAATGAGATGGTAGGTGGAGTAAAAAGAATTTTACATATTTTATTTTCAGAGAAATTAATCTCGCTTCAATTCCTCGACGTAAACGATATTTCTCGACGCATCGTTACACACGAGATTTCCGGCGCGAAGTTGTCAGCATCCACACCTGGGCAAACCACGAAGGGTGGATCGAGTTCGAGTCAGGTAGGAACTGTAATGAGAAATGGCCGACGCGGAGGTGCAAACCGGTGCAGAGCGCGTGGTGAGGTCAAATGTCGGACGGTGCCCGAGGGTTCGCGTGCTCATCCCTCCTCCTGCGTCCTTCCGTACCCGATATTATCCTCCTCGGGACCCGCGTCCACCCACGCTCCGCTGCCTCCGCTCGTGACTAATGCGCGGCCCGAGTTATGAGCGGGGCATGAAATAATGTCGAGTTTATTAAGGAGCGCCCGTGCGCTCCTAATGATACCCGCGCAAATTTCGTCATTTCTTTCGCGCGAGATCATTCACGATGGCTCGTTCATCATGCAAATTAGCAACCGATCAGTGACGTTTTCCAGTGACGCAACTAGCAGAGTTTAGAGCGATTTATTTTGTTCAAGAGAAAATAAAGAAACTATTTTAATGCAAATATATACGCTGAAATTATTGAGAACGCAAATTGTTAATTAAATTTTAGGTAAAGTAAATTTTTTGTTAACTTTAGAACCCTAAACATTAAAAATCCTAAATATGGATAAATTTCACCCAGTGCATCTTCCTTTACTTATAACTTCTAGAAAAATGATTAAAATTTTTTTCAATTAAAAATTTCATCTTTTTTCAATTAAATTTCATTTTTTTTTTAAATCAAAGTAGAAATATTATCGAGGAATATGATTCTATTAATATTCTTAAGCAGTCCAAAATTGGGAAAAAATTTTATTAAAGAAACAAGACACATGTTTTTAGGAATAGTAACGTTTGTAAAGTTGACCGTTGCTGCAGGATCAGTGTCAGCTTTTATTCGCCTTATTTATGTTTCTCTTTTTTAGAGACCTCAAACTTATTAAATTTTATATCCGTATTTAGGATTCCAGAGTTAAGATGATTTTTATGAAATAATTGCAATGTCTCTGACGAATTTTCCACCGTCCGCATTTCCACCTCTGAAACGCGGAAATAAGCTAATCACCGTCTGATTTCAAGTTCATCTCGTAAATTACGGGCATGTGTGGATTGTGCGCACGCGTTATCATTTTTCATCTCGCGTTTCGTCGTCCGAGAGATTAATGCGCGCGCTACGATACCACGATAGCGAGATACTTTCTCTTTCGCAACTCCTGCACTCGGTCGAGAACACGGCGCCAGTTATGCATCCGAAATGATCGAAACTGCACGGACTCTTCGCGAAGACTCGCTTCTCACCTCGTCCGCCACACGATATACTATTCGCGTTCGCAGTGCATCCTTCCGCCCTTCGCCAGCCGCCGTCTCTCATTATCCGTTTTCTCCGCCTCCTCGTCATCTGCATCCGCGCCCGAGGGTGCAGTTGGTATGCACTATAGCAAGCCGGCAACGATTTCGCCGATTAGAATTCGCCGTTGCAGTTATTATCCTCGGTACTCGCTACTGACTCACGCGCGAATATAAAGCGCGAATGCAATTTTGAATTGCAACAAGATAAGAGACAGGAATATCAAACGAGGTACGAGAACATCTCATTGATGTGTAAATGATTCAAATATACGGCGAGAATTTTGCGGCAAAAATCACTGTGAGATTTTGCAGCCGAGGAATAGATCGTTATTCTGTAGTAATTCACTATTACCCTTATTTCATGTGTGCTACTTATATTTCAAGAACCGAAACGTGCTATTAAAACACTCGCTATATTTCTAGCGAAATTTGTCATGTTCCCTAACCAGACAAACTTTACTGATAGTCTATAATATTTTTGGACTATTAAAAACATAGTCAAATTGAAAAAAATTAATATGAAGGAAAACTATAATATTCTTGTGTAAAAACATAAAATTGAAAAGAATTTATATGAAAAGAAAAAAGCTATAATATCCTCTTCGTATAAGTTTGAGAGAAAACATTTCCACTCTCTCCCTAGATTAGAACCTTAAATAAATAGGTAAAATTAACCCAGACCAACTTTTCAAACGTTACCGTTCTTAACCTTAGAAGTGTAAACATGTGTCTTGTTTTTTTACTATGACTTTTCTCAACTTTATTGAATCGCGAAAAAATTAATAGATGCATATTCTTCGACGATTAAAAAAAAAAGATTGAATTCCGATCATTTTTCCAAAAGTTATAAGCAAATGAAAACACGCTGTGTAAAATTTACCCACGTTTGGAGTGTAACTTTTTAGTGTTCAGAGTTCCAGGATTAATTAAGATATTGCTCTATATTTTCCAGTGTCATCGATGAACTCGCTAGAGAGCAACTAACACGCGAGCAAACACGCGGTCCCGTGTAATTAATTGTAATGCGAAGTTTAATAGTCAAAACAGTTTAATCTGTTCGTCATAAACATCGTGTGCTCACTCCAAGTGCTCGATGCCAAGTTTTAAAGTTCTGCGCGTAGGGTGGCTATCGACGCGATCGATCGATCGATCACTCTCGAGGGCTCGTGCAATATTCATGCGTGCAGGAGAAGCTCGCGCAAACCGGTCGTTCTAGTGTATACAGAAACCTAATTCGAGCAACTCGCGCACACGTGCCCGAGTTCGCCTGACTCTCAGTCTCTCACTCGACGTTTCGTTTTCTTATTGGACATCCGGTGTCTCGATCAACGGATAATTATCCGATATTGGCGCGTTAACGTATTTGCGACACAAACTAAGCGATAAACGATTTACGAGTGAGACATTCCCCCCAACGAGAACAAAATCAGCCGAAGTAGAGCATCTTTTCTTTTTTATTTATTCCTGAACATAGTATGTCGTAGATTGTATGAGATATGAGACAAGTCCGATATGATGATCATAAAACAAGGTTTCCACAGGTTGCGTGTATGTGTGTGTGTGCGCGCGCGCATAATATACTGTAATTATTATATGCTATAACTGTTATACACTGACAGAAAAAATATCTAAAGAAATGAAGAATATTTATTTGGTGGAGATATTGATAACATATTTACTTAAATCTAAATTTTTTAATTTAAATGGAACAAGCAATAACTTTCATAAAAAGCAAAGGTTACAAGAAAATGTATATTCTCTTATTTGAAAAATATTTTACATTAGCATAAATAAGTATGTCATTAGTACCCAGCGAAAAATGTTTTTCTCTCAGTGTATTAATATTCAGACAAACCAGATTTTCTAGATTCACGGTGGATTAGATGAGCGAATGTAGCAAATTAGTCAAGTTCCGCTGAATTACTAATGTCCACCCACGATTAATTTGGATTAACCCAAATTAACCGGTTAATTAATCGACTGCTAAATTTGCGCGATGCGCCGTGTCTCGTGATATTAAATATAAAATAGAGCGAATATATAGAGAGGTGACATCATTTTCCTGTTGTTTTGGCGCCCTCAGGCAATTGCCCAAATAAACCGCACCTTAATCCGATCCTGAGAGCCGAGAGACGGAGCAGATATGACTAAAGTTTCGAAATGATTGACGAGCGACTCGGTTTCTACGAGCGGACGAGACGAGCTCCTGCACACGCGCTCGTTTCGCCAGCAATTATCGCATAAACGAGAGCGGCCATTAAGGTCCGCCGTCGTAATTATCCATCGTGCCTCATATTACACCAAGGATATACGTACACTTAGCCCGGGTTTCTTTTTTAATAGAGCCATTTATACGGAAAACATTTACGAGTTCGCGCATCGACAGGTGTTCTCACGATTTCGAGATTGTCAGAATTAAACGGGACAGAGTCGTCGCGATCATGCCTCGCGCAATTCTACTACCCGCTCTTGCGGATTCTCACAGCCGGTTACAACAAGCAATTTCGATAAATACATACTATTGCAGTCGTAAATCGAGCGCAGTGTTGCCTTGTAAGTCTCGCCGTTAAACCACAAATTCTGGCAGGACCAAAAATCGATCTGCAATACGGCAGACTAAAGCCCGTATTAACAGTCGTCACTTGAAATTTGTGTTTAAATTTAGAACCGTATCAATAGTCAGAATTAAAAAAGAAAAATTACCAGCAAACTTATGAGACTTTAAATAAAAATTACAGCTGAAGCGACAGATGCAAACGACTGGACGATTTATTTGGTTTTGCCATATATAGGTAAGATTAGAGAATATTGCAGAGAAAGGGTTACTCACTCGTCTGATTCTGGAAGTACGGGTCCTCCCTGTCGGTGAAGAACCAGGTCTGTAAACAGAAAGAGGAATTGTGTTATATTATATTTTGATTATACACGGCCGCCTTTCGAGCCCACCCGACGCGGCGCACACAATAATCGCGTTGCGGCACGTACGCACTTGATTGTTTACCGCAGACCATCCCGGCAAACAACACGCACCACGTATCGATCATAAATTTCAGTCCTTTTCTTATCCCTTCGAAGCGGGTCGTTCCATTCGCGTCAGTTACACGCCATAAATTCACCAACCTTGGGGCACTTTGCGCCGCTACAATATTCCTCCCGTTTGTATTCGCGAAAAGCCGAAGTCGTACGGACAACTTCGGGACACGAGGCAAAAACAAATGTTCTGTAGAAAGCGAGTCGCGCGTAATGTCCCGACGATAGCCGAGCGTGCGCCAGCGATACGTTATGCGATTAAAAAAGTTTCAACAGCCACGTCGATAACAGTATTTTTTCTAGTAATCTCCTAACTATCAACTGTAAAATGAACGCATGGCATCGAATTTCGAAATGCATCCTGTGGCCAACAGGAAAATTCGCCTGAGAATTACTGAAAAATAAATTCTCTCGTTGGATATACAGTTGCGTTGCGGAAATCTTTAATGAAAAAAAAATGTTGCGAGCTTTCTGCTGACTGTATCTTCAATCGGAAACTACTCGAGTTCCTCGTTTATTCTACCGCGTTAGAAAATTTATATCGGAACGAAAGAGAGAAAGGGAAAGGGAGAGAGAGAAAAGAGAGAGCTGAGACTTTCCATCTGTATCTGTCGCATCGTATCCCCTTCCGTGGCAGTTGCATCTGGACGAACGTATCGCGGCGTCGTTACGTTACGATCGCCGTACACCGCACGTGTTAAAGTAGTCGTTTATTTTTAGTTCCCAAGAGTAGTTCCCTTCAGGAAGTGAACGAGCAAGAACGAGCGAAAGGGGATGGTGCTCCAGACGTCAAAAGCATTGTATCGCGATGATTTTCACGCGATCTCGACGTATCGCCGTAAGGACCGGCCCAGGGAAAGAGAGAGAAAGAGAGAAAGAAAGAAAGAGAGAGAGAAAGAGAGAGAGAGAGAGAGAGAGAAATAAAAGAGGAATTTTCACGAGGAAATTGTCGGCGCGAGGCAATCTCGTGTAATTTTACACTCGCCGCTTTCTCCGCACGAACAGCTAACAATCTCGCGAGCGGCGGCGCGTTGCGGAATTACGAACTAATTATCCCGATATTTATACGTCGTCTCGGCGTGCGTTCATTAAACGAGTGGGCGAATTGCGCATCGTACCGACGTTCAGTCTGTTTTAATTAGAGCGAAATTAAATCGCTTACCTCGGATAGGTAATGGGCTGCTAGCAGTGATTAATAAATCACGCGTGGCTTAATCGATGGCGCAATTACCGGGTAGAATTCGGTAAACCGCACATAAGTCAGTCAGACAGTCAGTTAGTTAGTTAGTTAGTTGTTTAGTCAGTCAATCAGTCAGTCAGTCAGTCAGTCAGTCGCGATCGCAATCCACGGAGAGTTTTAATAGCAGACAGCGTAATGGAAACGTATATACGTAGATTCGAGGTGCAGCTTACGCGGCTCGCATCGTTCGATCTCGAGTTCAGGTTCGACGACACTTTTCCGGATGTCGCAGTGGCGGATGTCCGGGGGATCAAGCGCGACGAACGTAAAAATAGCTTGTGCAACGAGAGGCGCTGCAATTGCGACGGCAATTTATCTGAGGCATGCGGATAGAGAAAAAGTGGGAGACCGGAGAACTCAGTCAGCGTTCCCAGAAAGAACACGAATATCCGGCAACGAGTGTACGTCGTGTACAAAAATAAGAGCCGAGTGAACGTGTGTCGCGATGACGTCAGTGGCACCGGCGTCGCATTACACCGACATAATTGCATTAATCCGGCGCGTACGCCGTACTTAACGCGTGGCGTCGTTAAGCTGATCTTCGGTCTTTTCGCGGGAATTTGTTGAGTCCGGCCGAGTGCTGGTCGTACCGCGATATATAGCCACCGTGGCTTGGGGATATGGGGAGCCGTATTAAGAGCCGCTCGTTACGTCTAATTAGGCGCGACGAATTCGTCTTGCGCCGCGGAGGAGAGTTTCACGATCGCCCCACCTACGCGAAATGAACGTCGTGTCCGCCCCGGCAAACATCGAAGTGGAAATTACGAGAAAGAGAGAGAGAGAGAGAGAGAGAGAGAGAGAGAGAGAGAAAGTATATTGCAAGAACTGCTACGCGAATAATTTCGTAAAATTCTACGTTTAAAGGAGAGCAAATTTTCAAATTAAATAGACGCTGGTTCTCAATCAATGGCGCAGCAGTGCTCGCTGAATACTCGGAACAATCGACTGAATGGCAAACGAAAAGTGTGCTACACTATAAAAAAAAGAATCAATTGCAACAATTCAAATCGAGTTAACGAACTCAATTTGAGGGATAACCAAATTGCTTTCATTTTGTCAGTGCAGTTTTGGTGTATCTTTTTTTTTCAAATTTCTGATTCGCGTGTAAAAGTGAGTTCAAAATTTAACTTAATAATGAAACGATCACGAAACATCACACTAGGAACAAAGTACCTGAGAATTTATTCATCAGAGTTTATCTTTGTGAAATAAAGTTTATTTTTTTACTGCGAATAAACCTCTTATATTCCACAAATAAATTTCCAAGTATCTTTTTCTCAGTGTATCGATCATATCTGTGATCTGGTTTACTCAACCTATCAATTTGTTAGAATTCAACACAAAAACGCAATTACGACGTAAATAAATAAATAAATAAAAGATAAATATCAGATCTGTTCAACACGAGTGCGAGAAGATATATCTTCGCGCCTACACACGGCTCTTTCGAGCCTCGTTCGTGGCACGCCGAATTCTCTCCATGACGCACATACGCTCATATCGTAATCTTCAATCAAGCAGGATTGGATAAATATCGTTCGGCGGTGGCGCGTCGATTGTATCGCATATATTGGGCCAATTGAAAACTACAGCGCCGGCTCGCCGCGCACAAAAGAGGGGCAATGGAAATTAAGAGAAAATAAATTCGCCGAAGCGCGAGCGAGCTCACATTGGCGCGCCGCACGAAATTGCCTCGGGGTCTTTTAAGAGTTGCTTAAATAACCGAAGTAATCGACCAATTATCCAAAGCCAGTTCCGACCGGTGGAACGACCTTCGTCGATTGGGGGATTGCAGCAACGGCCGAGTCATTCCGAATAACGACATCGGGCGATCCACAATCCGGATCCTTTTGTGGATCACGAAAATTTGTGCCTAGCCGTGTTCACACCTCACGCCTAATGACACGATAATCGGATGGCATGACTGTCGAGTCTTGATGAGAGACGCAACAAGAAATTCCAACCAGATCTGTGCACCAGCGGGAGCCTGGAGCAAATCCGGCAGAAAAATATCCGGAAGATTGTCGTCAGCGAGAACGCGAGTCGAAATTTGGACCCTACTTTCGACTTCAGCATCTTATTTGACGCTTACTTTGATATTCGTAGTCTACAATATCAACTTCTTTTGATTCTATCAATAAATAATCGACATCATAATAGATTCTTACGTGAACAATACGATGGTGAGAAATTAGATCGACGCCAGACGCTTAATTTCAACATTATGGAACAATTCAATGCCGAGAGGTCCTCTTTAGGACTTACAAGTGGCATTTTGTGCGTTTCCCGCCATTTAAAGGGTCCAAGTAGGACTTGACTGAGTTTCCATGTGTATTAAACATAAACTGATCCTTAAGAATGTACAGATGTTAGAAAGTTCAGGCCGAAAGTGGGACTAAAATTCCGACTCGGCAAATAATCGAGGTAAAGCTGCGGCGGTTTTCATCATTGAGCGAGAGAAGTTGATGCAAATAAGCCTCTAGATATCTGAGCTTAACTAGCAAGAGATGTCTTTACTTAATTCTCGGTGTGATCTGTTGCTACTGTAATTTATCTCGATGAGATCTTGTTTGGGTTTTAACTAGTCAAAATGTGTGTTTAATAGTATTGAGCAATCAGGGCGAACGATGAAATCGATCAGGAGGTTATCAGTAATATTAGGGATTTAGAGAGCAATCTGCGTAGCAGACGATCGTGAGATATATCATCAGGCGTTCTCAAACACGCAATCGTTGTTGTAAAAAAACCGAGATGTATCGCAAACGAGGCGCAGAGCCCGATTGTTTTCGCGCTTTCTGGGAGGCGGCTCGGGAGGGCAACTCTCTCGAGTGAACCGTGCGGGTATTAACGACTTGACCCCATTATCGCACCGCATAAAATGCCGGGCACGTAAGAACGAGAAAAGAAGTAGGTGGCGAGGTGTATAAATGCGGCCATTAAAGGCCATTAAATAACGCCGCGAAAGGGTAGCCGAAGAGAGAAAGAGACGAATGTAGGGATTGCGGCGGCAGTAAACGCTCAACCAATGTTCCTCCTCAGTGAAGCGCATTATTAAATGGCGTCAGCTTGCGATATACGACGTATTAATAATCAAAACATCGCGACCTACCGCTCGACGCCGTTCAGTTTGAAAGAGGAACGTAGGAACGCGAACTTGTCAACCCTCTCAGAGCAAATTTCTTCACCTACAAGACGATCAAGTATATTAGATTCTTTGATGTCGAATGAAAACATTCACTCGACGATTCAGAATGGAAAATTCACTCTATCTAAAATAAATCACTCAAGTAATCCGACTGTCTTTTTGAGTGAAATTTCGCTCAAAGTAATTTAGAGAGTACAACACCCGCCTTGCTTGAAGTTCGCGACATGTGCGCAATTTTCGCTATGATCGCTCATTGTGAAATTCAAAGAAATCCCGTGAGTATACGGTCCACATTTCCGAGGCATACAGCCCCGCATATAATTCGGCAAGAAACCGATCCATATTTTCAAGGCATATTGCCCCGCAGATAATTCGGAGCCTCGGGCAGGCGGTCGAGTTCCTACCTGAGTCTATTATCTAAGCCGCGATAAATCGCCGAACGTAAATTGGATCGTGAATTTTTA